ATATGCAGTCGCCAGGCCAGTCCATCCTGGTTAAGCGGGAGAATACCATCAACCCTGTTCATAAAACGCCTTCTGTGAGTTCGGACAAGAATGACTCCACCACAAACGTTGCCATGGCCGAGATTAAGGACATGGATCTCGACGACTATATCAAGCGACTTCTCGATGCTGCCTATGCTGGCAAGGTTACCAAGAGCGTGTGCCTCAAAAATGCCGAAATTGTCGCTATTTGCCAGCGCGCGCGAGAAGTCTTTTTATCACAGCCTGCCCTTCTGGAGCTCGATGCTCCAGTCAAGATTGTTGGAGATGTTCATGGACAATACACGGATCTGATTCGCATGTTTGAAATGTGCGGATTTCCGCCAATGTCCAACTACCTTTTTCTCGGAGATTATGTCGACCGAGGCAAGCAGTCACTAGAAACCATTTTGCTCTTGCTCTGCTACAAGCTCAAGTTTCCCGAGAATTTCTTCCTGCTCAGAGGGAATCACGAATGCGCCAATGTAACTAGGGTATATGGATTTTACGATGAATGCAAGAGGCGCTGCAACGTCAAGATTTGGAAGACCTTTGTCGACTGCTTCAATACACTCCCCATTGCTGCCATTGTTGCCGGCAAGATCTTTTGTGTGCACGGTGGCCTTTCGCCAGCTCTCAGTCACATGGACGACATCCGGAATATTGCCCGTCCCACCGATGTGCCTGACTACGGTCTACTAAACGACCTTTTGTGGTCAGACCCTGCGGACATGGACCAGGACTGGGAAGCAAACGAAAGAGGAGTCAGTTACTGTTTTGGAAAGAGAGTCATAACAGACTTCCTTGCCGATCATGATTTTGACTTGATCTGCCGTGCACACATGGTTGTGGAGGACGGATATGAGTTTTTCAATGATCGAGTATTGGTCACAGTTTTCAGCGCACCAAACGTGAGTAATCTTTTTTTCTTAACTATATAAGAGTGATGGGCATACTAACATTTTCTAGTATTGTGGTGAATTCGACAACTGGGGGGCTGTAATGTCTGTATCGTCCGAGCTGCTCTGCAGCTTTGAGCTTCTCAAGCCGCTTGATTCCAGCGCTCTCAAGAGCCATATCAAAAAGGGTCGCAACAAGCGTCAGTACATGTTGAACAGTCCTGTAAGTCACAGCTTCATCCGTGCTTTATATCTCTGAGTATCGCTGACTCTTTTCTAGCCCGCAAGTGTTCAACCTCAGAGCGTATAGTCAGTTTGGGGGTTTGGGGGAACGAAGATACCATCCAAGGGCATCCCCCTGGGGAACAAAGATATACTCGTGGATAGAGAGAATGTCCATGACGCCAAATTATGATGAACATCATGCCGATTCTTGGGAGTACGATACGCCTAGGGCTTGGGCTGGCCAAGCATGTGGCTACCGTAGCCACGGGGTAATAACCGTGTTGGGGTTCATATCGACTTGCTTCTCCGAGCGTTCAGGCGTAGCTGTCTGAATCAAGATCTGGAACGGTCGACTCGATGCATGCAACTTCGTCGAACAAAACTCTCAAGTGTTATATAAGGGCTTGGCCGGCTTGGGTCACAACGGCGCCGCGGGGGAAGTAATAGGGAAACTTATGGGTAGTTGGGTGTCTTCATGACGGGGAGTTTACACTATACATATCTGTCTTTATTTGGGACTGGGAATGGGGGGTTTGTACAGCATATGGAGACCAATCTCCACCACGATGACTTCGGGAGCTAGCAGATGGTGCCAGCATTATCTGACAGGCGCCTTGGAGTCGACTTGTTTATTAAAATACGCTTCATTGATAAATCATGATTAAAGACGTACAACTATTTATTCATTTTGCTTTTTGATAGGTTTTGATCTCTCCTCTAATTTGTGGCGCTTTGCTATCGTGATATTGCTTAGTCATCATCCGTCAAGATGGAGAAATTTGGAGGTTTCCAGCTACGACCATACAATTGAACGTTGAACGTCAATCGCAACCATGAGTTCCCAGGCTCTTCGTTCCGCCTGCAGCCGGGCGAGGCCGGAGCTGGAGAGGGTCGGATTACCCCTCAGAAATTACTTTCGACAGTTCTCCACGACACAATCACAGTTTGACGACGCTGCTCCTACTGTTGCGAGCGATGCCGGTGCTGGTGCGAGACCAACTGCCCGCGAGCGAACGAGAGCCGCAGCCAGCGAGATCAATTCATTGGTCAAGAACAGAAATGCCTCCGTGGGCCAGAGAGCGACACCGGTGGAGGGCGCTGGTCAGCCCAAAGTGATTGACGTGCGAAGTCTGCCCAGAGGACTCGGCCGCGGGGGGTTTCGTGGGAGGGGAGGATTTGCTGGAGGGGCCCAGGGTGCTCCTCGAACTGCATCGCCGGGTGGAAATCGATTCTCGCCGGGGAATCGCGGTGGTGCCTCCAGGGGAGGGTTTGTCGGGCGTGCTAGAGGAAGGGGTGGACGAGGCGGCGGCGGTGGTGGTGGTCAGCGAGGGGGTTCCAAGACGGGCAAGGCGAGAGGCGGAGGCGAAGGCGACAAGTCCGCCGCGGGGCCCCGGGGAAAGAAGCAAGATCCCTTTGAGCGCATGGACTCCGCCGAGAAGGCCTTTGACGACGCCATGCGGTTCGGAACAAAGATGCGGTACAACCCCTTGCTGACGATGGACTCGCTCGCGGCGTTTATGCCCGCCACGCCGACGACCAAGGAGGGGCAGACGGCGACGGTGCTGCAGAACCTGAGCGTGCTGGGGACGGCGGATCAGGTCGGCGTGCCGGAGGGCTTGCAGGCGAGGAATTACGCGGAGGAGGTGGAGAGGAATGGGGTGCGGTTCTTTGCTGATCTGAAGGCCAAGGAGGCGGCGGAGCAGTACCTCCAGGACAAGAAGAAGAAGAACGAGAGCGCAGCCGAGGGCGGGGAAGCAATCGCCGCTGAAGGCGCCGATGCGGGACCCATCATTCGAAGCGCAGAGGAAGCGATCAAAAGGGTCATCCTGGACAACGCGGTGGCGGGGAAGCACGAGGAGCCCAGGTTTGCGCTAGATCCCGTGGGGGTCGCCCGGTCGTGGCACCTGAGGGCCGAGACGTACACGCAGAGGGACGTGGAGCGGTTCGAGAAGAAGCTGGCGTCGTTGCTTGGGAAGGGTGGTGGGAGCAAGGGACAACAGCCTCAGGCAAAGACTTAGACGATACGAAGGAAAGAAGGAAAAGAAATGTTTGTGTATGAGTATGAATAAAGAAACAGAAAAAGAAAAGAACGGCTTGTTTCTCGATGATTTCGCGTGTAGTTTTGTTTAATGATGTGGAATGTAGTATACATGAGATGTGTGTTGACCTATCCACCATAACACCAATCGTACAAAAGTTCCCTTCATCCATTCATCCATATAAGATTTTGATATATTCATATAAAGAAAGAAAAGAAGAAGAGAGAAAAATCAATTTCGCTCAAGCTGCTTCACCGTCCGCGCCTCCTCCTGATCGATATCCTTCATCTTCTTATCCTGCAGCTTCTGCAGCTCCTTCTCCGCCTTCTTCACCACGTCCGGCAGCACCACTTTATTCTTCCTCCAGTCCTGCAGCGTCTTCTCGTGCCGGGTGCGCACCTGACGGACCCTCTCCCTCCACGCCTGGCACGAGTCCCTGACCCTCCTGACGAGGTCCTCCTTGCGCTCCAGCTCCACCTTGAGGAGGAGCTCCAGCTCGTTGTCTTCTGAGCGCTGGGGCTGCTGGTTGAACTCGGCGCTCTTTTGGATGGCGGACATGATGTCCTTGATGTACTTCTTGTCGTTGACCAGCAGGGAGATGGTGCGTCCCGAGCGGGGGACCACCTGCGCCACCTCGCGCAGCTGGAAGGACAGGCCTTCCTCTGACTTGAGCGTCACGGGTATGGCGCCCAGGCTGTCCGGGTTGAAGCGCCCGCCGTGGAGGACCTGCTGCAACTCCGCCTTGAAGTGCACGTCGATGGGCGCGTAGGCCGCCGTCAGGGAGGAGAAGTCGAGGGGGTTCTCGGGGTCGGGCGCGGGGCCATGGTCTGCCTTGGAAGAGGAGGAAGACGAAGAAGGTGATGATGATGCGGGTGTGGTTTTCTTGGAAGTAGGAGGATTAGATGGTGGAGGACTGTCGCTTGCGGCTGCAATCTTGCGCTTCTTGAGGTAGGCTGGCGTTTGGCTGAATGCGCGGACGGAGATGAGTGGGAGAGCTCGAGGCGCAGAGCTTTGGAGTCGCCTGTTGTTTGATTTCTCGGAAGAGCGTTTGGGTTAGCAGGTCCCTAGCTGTGTCAATTGGGGAGCAAGGGGTATATACGTCAATGCGCAAAGGCCAATTAAGCTTCGTCGGGACATGGTTGCTGTTTAAAGACGAGGTGTATGGAGGGGAGAGATGCCCAGTCGCAAGCTTTTGTCGAGCTGTGTGGTAGAGAGGAAGAGGTGGGGTGGGGGAGATTACGATAAGATATCATCTCGACAGCCTCACCTCACGGCGCATGTCTCGGAGCTCTCTGGTAGGGCAACTTTGCCAACTCTTATTCAACCCCCTTCACCCCCTGTGAACATGGCCGTTTATTCTCAGCCAATCATCTCTGGTCTCTGAACCATCAAAGTATTGCGAATCCAGTGTAGTGGGAAACTCATCAGGGCTTGGGTCTTATATAAAGCTACATTCGCTCGTCAAGTATCTAGGTATATTCAATGCCTCATACCATCTTCAATATCTCTAGTTTTCCATTGCAAGGACTTCTCGCAGACTGTGAGATTAACAAGATATTCATTAAATAATAAGAATAGTAAAGAATCCTAGTGCAGTGCTTTGAATAAAGAAATGAGCTGTTGAAGACAAACTGGAATGGAACATGGCAAGATACATTACACAGCCAGAGACTATCCATGAAGCGGTGTACAAAAATAAGCAAAGGCTATGAGATACAAGCCAAAAGGTCATTTCTACACAGACTAGAATGTAAAAAGAAGGGGAAGAGAGGAAAAGAAGAAAGAAATCTCAGTGTTGATGGAAAACACCAAAAAGAAATGATCGTGGCAGGGATCGAACCTGCGACCTTTTGTGATCACTTGAGCTTTTACTCATTGTAAGACAAACGTACTAACCACTGTACTACACGACCTAACCTTTTCAGGTTCTTGTTGGACTGAGGTCGTTTGTCTTTAATTATGTAGCCTAGATGTTTGGTCAGTAGCAAACATCGACGAGACCGGTAACAAGGAATATATCAAATGCTGAACTACCTGGTACGTATGATATGAGAACTTCATCGTCCGAGGTGTTTCGGAGAGCGGCCATAAGCAAATAGGATGAGCCGCAAGAACTAATAATGCCTACATTACTGCCAGAGGAATAGCCATGGCAATGAATAACCGTACGTCTCACCAATGCCCTTGGCAAACCCTTTCCTCTAGGAAGCAAAGCAAATATTCTAGTGGGGGACAAAGGCTTGAGCCCTGCCTAGTTATTGTTTCTACGGCTAATTTTCATCGGGGAGCAGGTATAGAATCTATAAGTTGATAACATCTATATAACCCGATATAGCCATGCCGCCCCATACGATGCGTCTAATGCCGCTATTCTGGAGCAATTCCCCTATAAGACAGATTCAACCACAGTTTTGTTCAACATCTCCATAGAAAGCATGCTCATTTCGCAAGAATTGGAGATTCTGTTGCACTTGGCCATCTCAGCGACTCATTGTATATACGATATCTAGCGACCGCTATCCGAGTGGTCTCAAATTTCCATCTCTCATTTTATTATCATCTTCCATGCATTGTTCGATCAGGCAACTGATGTATTGGAATTTAGCTCTGTAGAGGCTTGCCCATACCGCCAAAGGTAATCATCTTGGTGATTTGGTACTCGGCGATACCATACTTGGAACCTTCTCTGCCAAACCCACTCTCCTTGACTCCCCCGAATGGCGATGCGGGATCAGAGAGAATACCAGTGTTGACACCAACCATTCCTGTCTCCAAAGCCTCGGCAACACGGTAGACACGCTCCAGGTCGCGAGAGTAAAAGTAGCCGGCCAATCCAACCTCAGAGGCATTCGCCATCTTGACAACATCGGCTTCTGTCTTGAAGGGGAAGAGACCAGCCACGGGGCCAAATGTCTCCTCGGTGGCAATGGCCATCTCCGTTGTCATATCACGGAGAACAGTAAGCTCAAAGAAGTTGGATCCGACATCGGGCAATCGCTGACCACCGATAAGAATTTTGCCGCCCTTCTTGACAGCGTCCTGCACATGGGCCTCAACCTTGGCGACGGCACGGTCATGGATGAGAGGGCCATGGGTAATGCCCTCGCCGAAGCCATTGCCCATCTTGAACTCGCTAACTTTTTCGGTAAACTTCTTTGTAAACTCCTCGTAGATGCCTTCCTGTACATAAATGCGGTTGGCGCATACGCAAGTCTGGCCTGAGGATCGGAACTTGGAAGAGATGGCTCCGGCAACAGCAGCATCCACATCAGCGTCATCAAAGACAATAAAAGGAGCATTTCCGCCGAGCTCGAGAGACAGTTTCTTGAGGGTGCTGGAAGATTGCTTCATCAGAAGCTTACCGACTCCAGTCGATCCTGTGAAAGAAACCTTCTTGATGGTGGGGTGAGTAGTGAGCACCTCACCAACCTTGACCATATTCTCGTGTGTAGTAACGATGTTAACAACACCCTTGGGGATACCAGCCCTGTGGGCCAGCTCAGCGAGAGCAAGAGCCGTGAATGGGGTCTCGCCGGGGGCTTTGCAGACAACGGTGCAACCGGCAGCCAGGGCAGGGCCAATCTTTCTCGTGATCATGGCGGCAGGGAAATTCCATCTAAGCGGTCGTTAGATCACACGGAATTCACACCACACAATTTTCATTCACATACGGTGTAATAAGACCACAGACACCGACAGGTTCCTTGACTGTCCAAACTCGATTTCCAGGAACGGTGGCAGGAATAGTGTCACCATATGTGCGAGGCGCCTCCTCACTGAACCACTCAAAAAAGTTGGCGGCATAAGTAGCCTCACCCTTGGCATCAGCAAAGGGCTTGCCGTTCTCCCAGGTAATAAGCTTGGCGATATCGTCCGAGTTTTCAGTCATGAGATCGAACCACTTGCGAAGGATCTTGGCGCGCTCGCGGCCTGTTGTGGTACGGAAGGTCTTGAATGCCTCTCCGGCGGCTGTGATGGCCGACTGAGTGTCATCACCATCGAATTCAGCGCAGGTACCGACAAGTTCGCCTGTCGCCGGGTCTGTGTGCAGAGTCAGCTACCGAGTGTCAAACAATGGGAGTCTGTATGGATTTGGACAAACCGTGGACTTTGAATGTCTTGCCGGATTTGGCAGGAATCCATTCGCCATTGACGTAGCAGACGTCCTGCTTGAGCAGGGAGGGATCTTTGAGCTATATAAGAAGAAGATAATTAGCTCATACCGAGCTATAAAGAGGCCGCCAACATATCAACTCACCGTGGGAGCCATGGTTGAAGCTCTTCTGATCAATATCGATGATACACCTAGAGAGAAGCGCAATGTTGGAGCAGCAACTCTGCGAAGCAATGCCATGGGTTTGAATGCGGGGAACGAAGAAAAAAACAGACACCTCGGAATTATAATTTGTCTGTGCTCTCTAGAAGGAGGTCACTTGATTGGGAGGAAAACGGTGGAGGAGATGCATTGGCACCACATTGGCCTCGGGTAGAAAAGGATGAGATGGATGGTGTTGATTACCTGATGTCAATGGTGACGTCCTGGTGAAGTGGGAGCCCTGGAGAGCTTATGGGGTAACATCCCAAGATGTTGGTGGGGTAAAGGTAGCTTCCTTGTTCAACTTATCCTAGGTTATCCACAGGATCTGACCGCCGACAGCGGCCAGCATCGGGTGTGTTCGCGGGACTGGACATGCATTACAAATGCCGGGACGGACTTCTTACATATACCTACTAGGTAGCTGGGTCCATACTCATACTCAATCATGCATTATATGCAACGATGCACATGAAACCATGCCGGAACAAGGGACGCTTGCAGTTTGCTGTTCGAATGCATATATTATACTAGCAAAACATTCGCGACCAGGGCATTGGCCAATAAGATATATTGCGTGCTGTTCTGGCAGACAGATTCTTGCTGTCCCAAAATAGCCCGCAAGGTCGCAGTCCATCGCATCATCAGGTGATATCAAACCGTCCCAGACAATCGTCCCACCCTTCAACGCCAAAGGACCAAAATCATACAGTTAACTCCCATACTATCCAGCGGCGTTGCTGCTGCTCCCAATTCTAATTCGTAACGAGGCTTGGCCTAGCCAAATTTGGGCGCCTCTGGCTCTCGTAAAGGCAGATCCCGATTAAGTGTGTGGAAAGCCTGAGTTCGTGGCGTATAAGGGAAAATTCCTCCCGTCGTTGGCGACCCCAGTCCTTGCATCTCCATGTTCTTGGGCTCGGAATAGTTGGATTCACGATCTTCCTCATCTTCGTCGATATCGTTGGCTTTGTTCGGCCACATGGCCCAAAGGCAGAAGCCAAAGTTAATCAAATAGACAACACTAAAACACAGCTCGTTAGCGTCATGTCAAGTACTTGTAAAACCTGAATGTAGACTTACAACATATACAGAGTGATGAAAAGTGAACTCTGCGCAATCTGACAGTTGGTATAGTTGCCACTCGGCCTAGCCAGCCCACAGCCGTATCTGAAGTACCATGCAGCCGGGGAAGGATATCGTGGATCGGCGTAGTCGGGGCCAATTTGGCCGTAGACGCTCACGGTGAAGAGGGCGATCATACCGATGTTGATAATCGTGGCAAAGATCGGGTACCACAGCTTCATGATAATGGCCATGAGCTTGGCTAAGAGAAAGAAGAGCGAAATGACAGAGATGGCGACGTTGAAATCAGTCAACCTGGTCATGGCTGTTAGCATGAATTCGGTGCAATGTATTTGCCCAGCCAAGAAGGCGTGTGTTTAAACTCACTTTCGCGACCAAATGAATGGTATTTCTGGCAAGGGGCGGTGGTTGGCGTAGGCGTAGAGAACCATGTTTGGATTGGAGTTGAGGTGATTGTCGAAGCCAATCTGCCACATGGTGGTGCGGTACAAGTCTGGCTGGGCAAGGCCAAAGATGACAAGAAGAGGAACCAAGCCAATGAATTCTACTAGCATCAACCAACGCGTGGTCCTCAATGCCGTCGTGGGCCATTTGCGCTTGAGGAGGCGATAAGTCCCTATCGGTGTCTTTGAGATGGACATTTCGCAATCCTGTCGCTCTCTCGCTGCGTAAAAGAGGGATCGGATGGTTGGCTGGTCGAAAAACGAGGGATGAAGGATGGAAAAAAAGACGAATTCGGTAGCGAGGCCTGCTCCTCCGAACTGTTCTCGAACCGTCCGACTGGGACGTATTTGTGCTGCATAAAATGAATAAATAAAGCAATCAATGGTCGAGTAAGAAATTGCAAGACGCTACCATCAGGGAAGTCGTCGCCGTCAACGATTCGTCGTCGCAACAGGTCAGTCAGTGAAGCTGATTCAAGAGGCTCAACGACGGCCGCAGCGCAAAGTAATTGGGGGCTGCACAGCGTTTAAAGCGAGGAGAGAGACGGTAGGATGCCATTAGGGATACGCATGGGCGGCCAAGAGGTGGGGAGAATGGCGGGCGTCGAACCTGTTAGACGGTCGATTGGGCTGCATACCAGGGAGCTTGAGCCATCTCGAGCCATCAGTGGTCCATGAACGGGCCATTATGAGTGCCACGAAACGCCTGGCCAATAGAAGCTCGCGTTTGACAAGAGCCCTGAATGTTTTAAGCGCCCAGATCGAAGGACGCGGTGCTCGATTGGACGGCCCGGTGGTTGGCTTTCATGGTGCTGGCCAATCAAGTGGAGAGGATGTCGCCCTCGTGTGATGTGCCGGTGCCGTGCATGGGAGAATAGACCAGGATTGATGCAGGCCTCCTTCAGCGGCAGCCCAGTCTGCTTGTCTGGCTAGATTTGGGGCCATCTGTTCCGAACCAAGAAGCATTGTTGGTGATGGTATTTGTCTTTGTCGCAGAGCGTCTCAAGATGATGTTGCATATGAAGGAAGCAACATCAGCAAAGGCATCCATGGATCTCGAGGTTTTTCTTCG